CCAAATAAGCCATTGCGTGTGACCTTGTTTCGCTGTCTCACGCAAACTTGCATGTCTGCATCCAATGTAAAGAGGTTTGTGGCGTGCGAAGGCAGCTGTAATAGGAAACTCACACCCTCCTCTGTGGAGAGACATGATGACAACAAAACCACAATGCAGTGTGGGGAATTTCACCCTGAGTTACTATTTGCATAACTTTAGGAAGCTTGATTTAGATCAGCTATTGCACTGGTTGTGAAATTGAATAGAATAAGTTCTTTTACATTAATTAAAAACAGAGATATAGTAGTTGAGGAATTTCATGAGTAAAATAAGTTGAGGTTTATAAAGTATTGACACAAACACCCCTGACCAAATTTTTTTAAAACCTGAAATGTGTTCTCCTTACTTTATTTTCATTTCTCCACAGTGTAAAAATAAATAAATGCTTGAATCCAGTCAGAGCGCCACATGTTTATTAAAAAGTTAGGCAAATAATCGCTTATTTAAAAAAAGACACTATCAGGGGTTAAACTGAGATTTCGGAGGAGAGAGAGCGCTTGTCCAGTGAGGTTGGGCAGTTGGGTATGGGTGGTGTACATTCCATAGACCATCATGTACTGTCAAAAAAACAAACCATTTCTTCAGCCATAGTGTTCTGTGAATGCAGATCGTCCAGAGTAACTGTGGCACTGATACTGGAAAGAGATGTTCATGCTGTATTTTTTAAATATCATGTTTTAATGCTGAACCCCAAACTAAGTGGCCATATAAACAACTGTCATAACAAATGAAACGCTAATATGCAAATATAACCTGAGAATGCAACCTGAGAATTCTGATAATTCAAGTCTGACAACATGTTGACAGCCTGCTGAAATTTGTGCTACTTGACAATTCACAGGCAAGCTGACACCTGTCAGGCAAATCTGCCTGTAAAACCAAATGAAACACCATAATTCAGCTGCAGAACAAACTGCTTTAAGACTTATTTGTACACTTTGTGTTGATTGTGTTAATACAGTATTTTGAGAATTTCAGTGCAAGCATTTTCATACACTTTATAATTATTATTAAAACGTTCAAACAAGAGAAACAACAGCTTTGGAGAGATACATAGAAAAAATAGACATTTATGAAAAACATCTGTTGCAGTGATTATACTGTTCAACCAGATGGTGGTGCCAAAGCGACAAAACCATCCCCAAGCAGATATTTTCTGTTGGTTTACTACCTTATTTATCATCAATGCAGGGGACACCACACCATTCTTGTCACTGAAATAGACCTATTCTGTTGCTTGGGTTGATTAGACAGTAGACAATGTGTGTATTAATGCGTTGTATACTCTCATCATGTAATGGAATCCAATTAGTCCTTACAGTTTTGTTTAATGCTGACTGGGATAAAGGTCAATGACAACCTGATATCAATATTTAAAGTAGGCTACAGGGCAGCGGGTGTTACTCCACATGGTGTCAGGTTGGGTCATGTTTGCGGTTTTGGAGACAAAGTAAGAACAAATGTGCACATAGTCAACAGTGTGTGCTTTCTCCTTAATCTGTACATCTGCCTTTAATAAAGGTCAGTGAACAGACTGTGATATGAGAGTCACTTAACACTACAAATTACTGCTTTGGATTACATTTAGTACAAAGCATTAAAACTGTAAAAGGAACTAGTGTCTGGCTTGAATATTTACCCTACAACCCTTTGGTTTTATATTCCAGTGCCAAAGAAAATTATTGCTTGGGCATTATAATAACCAACTTAAAAACAAATCATCAGCCCATGTAATATTATCAGTAGTATTTAAAACTTACAACTGCTTGCAACTACAAATTTGTCACAGACCATTTATAAAATGTTTGCATGCTGTGTACAAATTGTAGAGAGAGGACCTAAAGTAAAATGTTACCACTTTAAGTCTACTGTGACATAGAAAGAAAGAAATAGTATGCAGATAGCTGCACATAGAACTGATACTGCCTCAGTGGTTCACTCAGCAACATTTTGTTCCAATCTGCACCTTTTGTGTTTTCTTGTTTCACCTTTATATTTTACTGTGTTATTGCCTCTGTCGCATCCATCAATTCATCTATTATCTAATTCCAATTATTCCTGAATAGGGTCCCTGGGGGGCGGTGGTAGCTCTACCCTTGTCACATTAAAGCTTAAATGTAGAGAAGGTTCATGTTTATTAGTCTTACAAGCATTCAGCAGATGATATAAATAAGATTCTTTAAAATGCAAGATATCCACTGAATGCAACCTATCTGCAACTGCCAAGTCTTTTATTGAAAGTAACACCGTTGGCTGTAGCCACATGATGGTGCCAAAGTCATATGAAACCGTTAGTAGTCTTGTCCACAGTAGAAAACCCTCTTGCCTTTGTATTATCAGTGTTTCACCTTTTGCTGTCTGTACAGTCACTTCTTGAATGAATAAATGCTCTGTGCCACTGCGTTTTTACTTCAAACAACCCTGCCACTATAATCGAGTTTGCAAACAGGAAGTAATTATTAAATATATTCAAATGAGTTTTAAAAGTGAAAATGTTTCGAACACATTCTACAAACCTTCAAGAACATCTCACAAGGTTCAAGCAGTCATGGCTTTATTTACTCTGGCTGGATTTGTTTACCCAGTCATTCATTATTCACCGAGAGGAATACTGTGAAAAAAGCTGTGCAAGTGAGAATACATGTTTACATGTTTAATGGGTTAAATGTGAACATGGTGCTGAACAAAACCTGGCAACAATGTCATCAAGGCTGTTACTCTAGTTGGAGAGAGTTGGACTTCAGTGGTAGATCTTTGGCTCTGGCTGCCTCAGTGAATGAAACTGTAAAGTTCAAGACATGAGCTATTGTCATTGCTGACTACTGAGTCTTACAAAGACAAACTGTGAATTATTACTCACATTTAAAAAATCATAAATAATAGTGCTACATTAAACATTACAGCAAACTTACTGAGAGTTTCCATGGCATTTCATTGCACTCTCAGATTTGTAACCAAATACAAGTAATTCTCATGCTGTTGCACTCACAGAGGAGAGTTATTTAGCCTTCACATGCAGTTGGACAGAACAATAATAAACAGTACACCACACCTGCAGATGAAGGTGGCATTCACAATACAGTGCTTTTCTAGCTCAAGTTGCAGTGGAGGTCATTATGCCTGTGATGCTGAACTAACACTTTGGAGAGTGTGGATTTTTCTGGGCAATCTTAAAAGGCTTTGAATGTTTTTATTTATGGAACGTGAAATTACATGCATATGCAGACAATGCACTCCTACTACCACTTAACTGGTTTTGATATTCCAGTATTATGGTTGACCAGGATTGGTTACAAAGCACTATAAACCCTATTTTCCACAGAAAGAGCTCTGTAGGATCATCTTGATAAAGCAGGTAGTGTTCTCATCAAGTCTGAGTGTCTTGATGGCAATATTTTCCAGAAACAGAAAAGTCTCAGGTGGATTTGCAACTGAGCCACTGATGAGAGCAGGTGGGCAGTCAACAGTCAGTCCTAATTTCATCAGATACCAATCTGTGCATAAAGCCTGTAATCTGGCACAAATTAGTTTGGTTTTAATTTGAAAATGAGTTGGAACTCATCTTTTTTGTTAAATGAATAACAGCTAATATGACAGTATTGTTAAATTGTAGCTCAGTGAAATAATTAAAAGGAACATTTTAGGATATATGAACATATAGTGACAGCTGAAACATCTATCTTACTCTGCAGCATCTTTTAAGATCAATAATTTCACTGACTACCTCTGCAGTTTATACAATGCAGATTCTTCACAGATGTTCACACTAAACAGCTTCCTTAAGAACAGAAAGACCTGGACAATAATACTTCCACCAGCATGACCCCAAGGCAGACGGAGAGGTTAACCAGCACAGCAAAATCTGTTGCTACCGTAGCGTGAAAACACTACAAGCTGTAACAAGCCATTTGCAGTTGTCATATTAGGGCAGAAGAACAGGTTGGACATACAGTGGGCTCTAAGATGGCAACTGACAATGTTGTAATAAATATAAAAAAAAATCTGTGTAAAATATTTTGAGAATGACGAGGATAAATAATGGTGTGGCCAATCCAAGATGAAAATCCTTGATAAGATGTAGATGTTTCTAGAATGAAGCCAAAGTTGCCTGTTTTCTGCTGGACAAGTAATTTAGCCTAACAAGTAAAGTTAACCTAAATGCACGTTTTTGTTTGCTGGCTTTAGCTAGAATTGAGTAACTCACTGAGGTCAAGTGAGCCACTGTTAGCTTTTGCATGGTCAAGTCAGCCACACTTGTTTTCCAAGTGCACAATTTGTCCTACATTTACAGTAATCACTGTCAGCCCTGTGATAAACTGGCTCCCTGTCCCCTGCCTCTCACACAGATATTGGCTGGGATTGGCCCCTGACCTCCCAACAACCCTCAATAGGATAAGCGCTATAGATAATGGATGGATGGATGAGAGCTGTAATCTGCAACCTTACCACTATATGTCACTAAATCTCACACACTGCACCTCTAAGAAACATTTTCTAAATTTCTTTCTTTTACTTTTCTTCAAAAATCCATATATACATTTGATTCAGAGAAGACATGTTGATTAAAAGAATGGGTTGTCAGTCAGCTGTTAACCAAGAGGGAAAGGAAATAAAGGAGTTAATGAAATTTCCTGTGACGGATGAAAACTGGGACCATTTGTTATAAATAAACACTGTTGGCCAGTCTTTTTCTTTTTAATAAAGGTACAATACATGTTATAGCTTACAGCAGAAAGCAGCATAACTAACCACCCCAACTATTTCCTATCACATCTTTGCTTTTGGCATTTAGAACCAGTAGAATAAAAAAAAAGAAAGAACAAAAAAGAGTATATTCTTTAAACACATATACACCTATACATGCCTTTGTGAATACACTTACATCAATACATATTGAAAAAAAAACAATTTTCAAAAAATGAAATAAAGGTAAAAGAGAACAAGTGGAGAAAAAATAGGAAGAAAATAACAGAGGTTTGCCACAATTAATTTTACATTAATTCTTCTTAGACAGCACGGCGTTATTAGCTTGCTAACTATATGTGTAAATTATATGCTAGCACCAGGACACAATGATTAACTAGTGGCTAGATAGTAATAAACTGATCAAGCAAATATTTAAAGGAATTGACACAATTGTGATTAGGTTTTTTTTTTGTTTTTTTTTTTGCTAAATCTTGTTAAGACTTTCATTTTGACTGATCAGTCCCAGTATCGGCACCAATACCAGCACTTAGTAGTGCTACTCTGATTTTTTCTTTGTCATTTCATTTCTGCAAAATGTGCGAATACAGAACAGGCAGCTTTTCAGTGTCACCCACAGAAAAGTTAGGAGAATGATGACAAGGAAGCAGATGACGTCCAGGCTGTGGTACTGAATCCAGTTCAGGTCATGTGCAGCTACCCTTAGATGTGCTGCTCCTTTGTGTCTGATGACAAACTCAGTCCAGAAAACAGCCAGGTCCAAGGGCTGGACAGGGCGGTCCAGGTGTATCTGAGACAGCTCCACCATCTTCTCTTTGTAGCTGGGGAGATATTAACACAGAGAGTAATAGCTTGATCCACACTATAAGATAAGATGAGATGAGATGAGAAGAAAGAAATTCATATATGTACTATATATGTATACAGTTAATGTTTGTGGTATAGAATTTAAATTACTACAGTGTAATTACAAAGCAGGATACTTGTCAACAAAGACAGAGAAGGAGGTGACTGGTAGCGAGCAAACAAGGATGTAAACAATGCAAGTTTAAACTGTTAAATGCATTTGTTTGGCACTTATTTCATGCACTAAAAGTCTTGTGGCATTTATGGTAAATGGTCTTATATTTGTATAGCGCCTTTCCATGCTTTGCAGCACGCTCAAAGCGCTTTCACACTATTTGGCCATTCACACTCCCAAACACTCACACATGCACACACCGGTGACATCACCGGGAGCAACTGGGGGTTCAGTGTCTTGCTCAAGGACACTTCGACATGTTGACTGGACAAGCCGGGAATTGAACCACAAATCCTCCGGTTAGGAAACGACCCGCTCTACCTCCTGAGCCACAGCCACCTCACTTATGTGAGGTGGATGGTGTATCTTTTACTTTAATTGTAAATTTCAGTTTTGAGTCACTATTCTTGTTAACATCCAGTTGTCTTACCTTTTATCATGGATGAGTTTATTTAGTGCATCCAGTATTTCTTCAGTTGTCAGATCATAAGGATAGAGTTTCTCTGCAACACCGCGAGCCACCATACGATCTGCATTGTCTCCCTGATCCCAAAACAGTGGAATCATCAACATGGGTACAGCATTACAGATACCCTCATACATTCCATTGGCACCTCCATGAGTGATGAAGACTTTAGCCTTGGGATGTGCTGAAGAGCACAGGAAAAGCCGCAGTTACAGATCCAGTCGATCACAAATCAATGACAGAGACCTCTAATATTTTTTCCTTTCCAATAAAACCAAACATACCAAGGAGATCATTCTGAGGTAACCACTTCACAAGCCTGACATTCTTGGGAACATCTTCAGGTGGGACTCCAGTGAATCTCCACAAAACCTGAAACATCAACAGTTCTATCTCATTTTAAACATGTGATATGTAACATACAGTATTTAAGTACTGAATGGAGGCTTTGACTTGATGACAGCAAGACAAGGCTGGGGACAAAGTCCCATGGTCCAAACTGATCAGGGCTTTAGCATAGAGTAAACTGTGTGTTAAACTCTCTGGCTAATGTCTAAATGATTGACAACCATGTGGAATAATCAATGTTTTAAGTCAAGAAAACAACAGCTGTCACATTAGCCTGGACTGGATTTATCTCAAGTGATTTCATCTGTTGATATTATTATCACCCTTTGAGGAATTTGCCGAAAGGCATCACAGAACAGTTTAGCCCTCTCCTTAGGCATGGTGGACACAAATGATCCCAGGGTAAAGACAATAAAGCCGTCATCTCCTGAGCCATCCACAAACTCCTCCAAGTCCTGCAGGGAAGTTGGAGAAGACATAAAAATTACCTGGAGAAATAAGTAACAAAAATAGCAGCTTGTAGACAGTATATGGATGTATGCTTTAATAAAAGGGTACATCTAATGAATAATTTGGTCATTTGAATGCAGCTTTTTATTTTATGGTCTATCTGTAAACTGCTCTCATACATGATTTTTAAATATAACAAGAATTTGTTTGACCAGCAGAGGATTCATCCCAGATGGACTCAATTAAGTAATCTTAGAAGCATAATCTTATTTGTGCTTATACAACCAAACCTTTCACAGTTGGGTATGTGATATCTGCTAACACAGCAGGGCTCCTTAAGTCCTTTCTTAGGTTAATTTGTCCATATTCCAGGAATCTGCTTTTCCTGGCTTAGATTTCACACAGTGAGTCTTTAAGAAAAGTAGACTAGCCTGTTTTTTAAACACTAGGAGCTAAATCTTGGCAAAACATGCAGTCAGAACAGTCTTTACAATCCTATGGATTTTTTAAAACGTTGTATGTGATACAAAATGACACAAGCAAGTAAAATGTTTGCCACAATATCACTTCTGTGTGCTAAATCTTTCTACAAGCGTTAATGTAGAGATGATGAATTTCATGACTTATGCAGATGCAGACTGGTCATTGGTAAACTTGAAAATTTTCCTGGTGGGCCAGTGTGTCTGTGCTGCTGCATGTGATGGTGAGTTAAGTAGCAAAAAGGGCAGGAGCATCAGAGAGGTGGGAAAGCAAGTCTGTGTCTGATAGTTTGGTGAAAGTTTGATTATTGTAGCATTAGAACTACTGGACCTACTGTATGTTCTTTCAGTCACTTGTAGCTAAGAGCCTGCTGACTGTAGGGTTCAAGGTTTCAAAGATTTTTATTGTCAATTCACTATATGTGCAGGACATACAGAAAATTGAAATAGTGTTTTTTTCTCAAAAAATGATTTTGACTGTTGATGGATCAATTAAACATGGAGATTTTTTCATCCTCTAAATGACCTTTTGTCAACTTGAAATTTGATCACTGGTCCTAAAGTGACCTCAACATTAGAAAAAGTGAAACATTACCTTTATTCATGGTTCTAGGAAAGCTATATACCACCATGGTACAAAGACTGTCTTGCTGTAATTTTTGACTCAGCAATTATTTAACCCCTAGTTAATAATTAGTTGAGAAATCACCTAAATGCTGCTGATTAAAAAAAGTGTGTATGAGGCAGAAAGAGAGACTTTAAGCAATGAACAGGATTGTTTGAATCAGTAAGTTGTGCATGTTCTTATAAATAAAAAAGCGCCAGATCTAGCCAGATCATTTTGATATGAGTGAGTCAGTATGGAATCTAGCGGCAGCCATCCTGATAAGTTCATAGCTACAGCCCACAGTAACATAAACCCCACTCAACATCATTCTGCTGATGAAGAAAGGTGTTCGCTGTTTTATCTGTGAGGTTGGATGCAGGTTTCTTTCTGTAATGTTACTACTGACTTGATAACCAGAAACAGGTTGACTGATGAGGCTCAGTGCGTAAGGATAAGGAAAATCACTATTATGTGGCCAAATATGTTACACACACAGTAACGGTACAGAACCAAGGCAGCCGTCTGTGGCGCCAACTCACACCGATGACTCTAACCATCGGGAGCAACTTGCGGGTTCAGTACAGGCACCATGATTCGAACCGCCAACCCTCTGGTTGGGAGATGGCCGCTCTACCCACTGAACCACATCTGGCCTCTGCATTTGGCCTTCCATGATCAAACAGTGAATATACTAATTCAGTAGCACTTATATAGTACAATATTGAGTGGGGTTTATGGTATTGCTTTGGTCCATACATACATTCACCAGTGTGTTAATTATTTCTCTATAACTCATAACTGTGCCCATTAGATTCTTTGCTGACTCGGTCACACTGATATTGCCTGTATCTACATGAGGACTTATGACAAGACGGTGCTTACTCCTTGATGATGCCAGCTTTCATTCAGCATCCTCAAGCTTCATTCAATATATTCAGACTTCCTTTCAATAATCTCACATTTCACCCAATATATTCACTTACATTCAATATATTCAGATTTATTCCCAGTTTTCCATTCAATCCTCTCATGACTAATTTCCTAAATATATTTGTACATGGATTTCAGTGATTTGACTGTGCACCTCAGATCTACAGCACTACAGTAAAGTTAGAAAAATACTCACAGCTTCAAAGTTCCCTGATCAATAAGTCAAATACAAGACATTGTTAAAACACACCTTCTCCTTTCAACCATAGTAGGGTAAACAACAAGCTGCAACTCTGTAGATGGTCCACGCATACTCATCTCACAGCTGGCTGTACATTGAGAACAATTTGCCCAGTTTGCTGGTTTTGAAATTAGGCTGTAGCTTCTCTACCATACTATGATTGGAAAAAAACATTGTGTTCGATTTAACAAATTTCTGTTTATGACTTATTGATCCATGAACTTTGAATCTTTCCAACTTTAATAAAATCTAAGCAGCATCTCTCATCATTGAATATTACAAGGGGCCCCTTTCATATTAAGCACCGTCATCTGATAAATAAAAAACTATTACTGTAACAGGTGGAGCTTTTCTGGTTTTTAACTTTTTACGTTTTATTACAAACACATTTCAGGTGTTTGCTTACACAAAAGAAGCAAATGTGAATAAGTGAATCTAGATGTGATGCATGCTTGTTTACTGTAGCATACATTCTTTCAGACTCACCGCTGGCAGAGGAGCTCTCTTTGCACAGTTGATACCTCCAATAAAAACCATGTTTGGCATGAAAGGTCTGGGCCATTCAAAAACAAAGTCATATTTGACAAGCCAGATAGCACCGTGACTAATAAGGTCGCTGTAGGTCATGTTGTTTCCTACATATTTGCTGGTCAAATCATCAAAGACACCATAGACTGGTCTGCACAGGTATGAGTTCACCATAACCATGACCACATTTTTGACTCTCTGTGGGAAAGACATGACGTCTGTATTATCAGAATAAAATGCAGGAATATATGAAGGTGGAGAGGGGCACTGGTTAGCCTTTATATCCAGCTCACATGCAAGTCGACGCAAGAAATAAACAACTGGAATGGAAAAGAGATGAGCCAGTATGGAGCCACAGGGAAGGAAGGGGTCTGTAAGCATGAGGTCGAAGCCTTTTCCCCTCAGTCGGCTCATGAGAGGCTGGTTGTTCAGCAAACTCTCACAACCTTTCACTGGCCCTAAAATAAATTCAAACAAAAGCTGAAAATTGTTATACAAATCTGTGAATGGTAATGGCTTGAGAAACACTCCATCCCTCAACTGCCTGATGTTTTCATCTTGTTCAGCTTTGGTGTACGGCACTTGGTAGATCTCAGTCTTGTAGTCCTCTGAGCCATGGATCAGAATGCTTGTTTCAGGTACCAGCACCACAACCTCATGGCCCCTGTGGGTGAGCTCCTTCACCAGTATCTTCATGCTAAGCCAGTGGCTCCCATCCACAGGCATAACCAGTATCTTCCCCCCCTCAATGGGCACCAGATTGAGGCAACACAGCCAGGCCGCCCGCCCCAGTGAAGGAAACCACACCCCGCTGCTCATTGCGTCCTCTCTGTACTTCAGGCTGGCTTCAGTATTGCCTGTTGTTAAGAGGTGGCTTTATTAGTGTTTAACTTCTACAGAAAGTTCAAGTTGCATTTGTAGGCGGGCTCATGGAAGACAGACAGATTAGATATTCCCAATGGATTTTGTGGTGAAGTCTAGTTTTTCCTCCCGTTAATAATTCTCTCATGTCTTGCTATATTCTTTTACACTTAACTCATTTACCATTGACATCATACATCTTTCACCTTGTATAGAGATGAAATGTGTTCATCCAGCAATTAAAAAATGTACACAAAAATGATATCAACAGTAAAATGTTTCTTTAGTGCATTTATTTAGACTATCATACCAATTTCTGTATAAAAGGTGACTATAGTTGCTTTCCTTCCAATTCTTATTCTTATTTGTTTTCTTCAACAGTAGACTCTTAACAGTCAGTAAGACTTCTAAGTCCTGGTGTGTACATGTGCAACTTGTACTGCCTACTGATTTGTACAAATTCATCTTTGTTTATCTTCACTACTCCATTTTTCTTACTCCTGAAAAACAGAGAAATGCATGACTAATGGGGCATCACACGCAAACTTTGCCATCCTGGCTTTTTCCAACTTTCTTATGCAAACAGGTATAACTACACACCATTTTACTGTAAAGAGGCTGGTGGTGTGCGAAGCCAGTTGTAATAGGAAACCAGCACGCACCTCTTCTAATCCTCAGCCTGGACAATGCAATGTGGGGAATTTCACCCTAGGTTACAATTTCCTTAGTCTTAGCAAACTCCTTTTGAAAGGAGAAACCTATAAAGTAAGAGTTAATTACACTTATTACATAGTTATTATATAATAATTGCTTATTGGTTTCACTAGCTCATTCTCACCACATCTATAATTATATCTATAACTATATCTATATCGAGATCAAAGATTTTTATTGTCAGTTCACTATATGTGCAGGACATACAAAAAAAATCAAAATACTGTTTCTCTCTCACCTAATGTTGAATGCCCATACCATTAAAAAACTAAAATAGAATAATAGTAGAATAAACACAGAATAAACAGAATATGAAAATCTATATCTATATATCTACAACTACAACTACACATTACAACCCGAGCAGAAGAAGACTCAGAGGTGTAATGGAAATTCTAAAGCCAGACTGGAGAAATAAAGAGTGAGCCACCAAGTTGCCTTTGTGTGTTTTGTGTGTGCAAAGAGTTTTCATCTCCTGAAAAACGTATCAGCACATCTGAGTCTGCGCTTCCTTTTTTCTTGCTTCACCTATTGCCTGTAATTCAATCCTTCAGTTGTCACACCGGTTAATGTTGATTAGCCTTACAAGCATTCAGCAGATGATATAAACACGATTCTTTGAAGTGGAAGATATACAGTGAATGTTTAATAAGACCTAATGAACCATTTTATCTGCATCTCGCAAAAAGTCTTCTCTTTAGAGTGACACGTTTGGCCACATGATGGTGCCAAAGTCATATGAATCCGTTAGTAGTCTTGTCTACAGTACAAAACCCTCTTGTCTTTGTTCACCCTTTTGCTGTCTGTACAGCCACTTGTCAAATGAATAAACGTTCCGCACCACTGTTTTAAGTTGCATGATTCAAACAACCCTCCCAGTACGTTGGAGTTTCCAAACAGGAAGTAATTATTAAATAGTAAGTTATTAAATAATAATTTTTGCATACATTCTACAAGCCAAGAACATCTCACAAGGTGCAGTGCAGCCATGGCTTTATTTAATCTGGTTGGACGTGTTTACCCAGTCATTCATTATTCACCAAAAACTGTGAAAAAATAACTGTGCAACTAAGACTACACGTATAAACGCCTAAAGGGTTAAAAACATGAACGTGTTGCTGAACAAAACCTGGTAACAGTGACATCAAGGCTCTTCTTTGTCTCATAGACGGAAAGAGTAAGACTTCAAATGTAGATCTTTGGGTCTGGCTCTCGGCACGGATGCGCGCCGACCTTGTTTCCAGCGGAGGATTTTGCGCACTGAAGTAAAGCTGAAGAGAGTGCACAGCTAGCGGACAGTTGTGTGACTGGCTGCAGTCCTGTCACTTGGCTGTACTTTACTGCGAGCATCTACATCTTATTACTAACATTACTCCGGATTAAGTAGGGGAAACAGTCCACCATTTATCTCGGCAACATAGAGGAATGTTGTTTCAGCTCAGCCGTTGAATGTAGACCTTGTATGTAGATAAATCCAAGAGAACATTCACTCAACATCCTCAGACAAGGAGGCGTTTTGAGAGGATTTTAGGACACTTTTCTGAAAGTGGATTGAACAAGGATGATTCAAGCCGCCTTGCCCAACTAAGCGAGATCCTGCCTTTGCGAAACGGTAAGAAAAAGTTAATTTCTTATAACAATGATATCCAGTCTGTAAAAGCCGGTGTTAAATTTGAAAGTGCTCCAAATAATCTTTCCACCTTTCTCGCAGGCGATCACAGCGATGTGTCAGTGGCATGTGCGTCAGTCCCTCTCCAACTCTTCCAGAAAGGATTTAAGCGCCGCTCATCTTGAATAAGTCGAGAAGTCATTGAAGATGAGTGCTCTGCAAACATTCCTGTTTCTGTTCCTCTTGCACCAGGTGAGCTTTGACATGACTGCGAGCAGACGTGGGCTCTGCCAAAGGCTTTCAGAACAGAACTTTTCAGAGAAAGTGCCACAGTAGCTTTATTGCGCTTTGTGCTCCTCATTATCCTGCTGGCCCCTTATTTTGACTCACTCAGCGTCATTTATATTTAAACACTTTGTTCATGTGTTATTTATTGGAGATCTGCATCATGGAATATAGCCACATAATGCAAAATGACAAATAAATTCCTGGCATGAAATTTTATTTGACAGTCATCAGCAGCAAATTGTACACATTTACTTTTACAAGGGATGCACTTGTTTTTGTTACCTGAACTTGCAGACTGTTCGGTTAAATAATGAACCTGTATTTTTAATGGTTCTTGGAGCACCTTTACAAATATGGACATTTATTTAAACTCTGTAGCCTATTAAAAAAATCAGTGAAGCTGACTGCATTTCATTTTGTAGAACAGATCCCAGATTACCCATAATGTATTTTTATAAGAGATGCAGCTACAGGTAATGTCCTTAATAGCACCTGAATTAACATAGCAGTCCTAAATGGAATTGTGATTCTGAGGACATTCAGCTTTCAGTCCCAGTTAATTCAATTACAGAAACAGTGCATATTTATACAATATGCAAAAACATTTACATTCACTTTTAGTTAATGAGAAAAAAGCATATTATTATTTAGAACGAACAGTTCTGCAGTATTCTTAACTGAGCAGTGGGGTTAATGTGGTTAGTTTGCTATTCACTGGATGCAAAGTTTATCTTTTATTTTCACTGTGATGTTGTTGAAAATCTTTTATATTATGGGCTTGGTATTTTGCTTCTGTCACTTAATGGCTCGACAAAACCAATAATTTGCCTCTTCATTTATTCAGCCATATCAATTTGTGGTTAGCAATTATTCTAATTTCTTTCACTTCCAGGCATGACTAAGCTTTGACCTCTGTGCTGAACCTCTGACATCCGTGAAGTGTGTTGACCATAGTAAAAATAAGGCCAGAGCGGAAAAAAGACATATCTTAAAACAACAGGTGAAAATTGCATTATCCACAGGTTTTCTAAGCCTGTGCATTTCCTCCTTGATAACTTGTGCAACGTGATGAAATCACAAGTTCCTGTAAATACATGGGAAATTATATAGTACTTACCAGAGATTGATTGTCTTAAGCTTCTGGATATAATTTTTCTGCAGTCTATTTTTTCCCTTTTACAGGAATAAGCTCTACAAAGAATATTCTTGAGCTTTAGGGAAACATAATGGTCTTTATTGCTGTTTTTCAACAGCTGCTGATTTTGTCCTCTAGTTGAATACAGTGTGGGTTTTATCATGATCATCTTTGCTTTATGGACTCTTGCCGTGATCCGAACTGAACAGAAAATGCCATGCGATTGAAGAAGTTTTCCACATCTGTGCTATCCTCAAAGAGGGCTTCTTTAAAGATAGCCTTGAACTATGCAGATGCAGTGGCAAAGTGCTGGTTTCTCCTCTCTGGCTGCTGTTGTAATCAGTCTCGTGCCTACTGGGAGCTCTGTTTCCAAAGAGAGAGAGAGAGAGAGAGAGAGAGAGAGACAGGCTGCCTCCCTGGAGAGACTCTTTTCATATGCCTCAGTGGCTTCCCTCCCAGCAGACCCACCACTGTCTGAGCGGGGACATACTGGCCCTTATCAATATTCCCCTGCCTTCTGTAGGGTAAAGAATGCTTAAATACCAGGTTGTTGCTCTGTGAAAGCATGAAGTATGCATAGCAAAACTTCTTGAACTATCAACAAGCTTTCTTTTTCATGCTTCGGGATGTCTAAGAATGACACGAGACAAAGCTGTGAGGCCAGATTTCATCCCCAGGCAATATATGGTCACAGGATGCACCTCAGACAAATTAACCACCCTTAAATGTGGAAACATACAACATTTCTTGTTTTAATAAGAGACTTAGCTTCTGTTGCAATGAGCAAATCAGCCAGGATGAGAACCAAATACACAAACACTCTTCTTCCTGTCATGCCCTACACACACACACACACACACACACACACTTACAGAAAACATCCAGAACATGAATCAAATGGTGAGAATGTAACCCCAGCCCCAGCATCTGTGCCATACCCCAGGGACAAATAAGAGGGTCAAAGCCAACCTGAGAGAATTCATTCTTCCCCATGACATCTGCTGCAGTTATCCCCTGTGCAATGACAGCAGAACAATGCAGATGAAGATAAAAAATACTTGACAGCCCTGCTCCCTGCCATCTCCCTCTGCTTGTTCTGTCCTGCCTCTATTGCACATACTGCATGTAGGAAAAGTGGATTTTTCAGCACGAGGACTTTGACAAAGTCTGTTACAATTTCATATCTTATTGCCGGGTATGATTTAAAAACATTATGTCATGACAAAGCATCTAAGAGGCCCATGCCAACAGGATTGCTGTTAAATGTATAGCTACCTTCTCTGTTACTGTAAACACCACTGAGAGGGGAAAGAGCAAGCATCTTGATAGAAGGGTGTGACGCACCAAAGAGACAAACCTTAGCTGGGTACTACTAAGCTGCCTTGTCCTCTGGATCTGCTGCATGCTCAGAGTTCATCCCTGCAACTTTGATGTGCACTGATTTAAGGGATTACAAGTTATTTCTCAGAGGGTTCGGCTTTCATTTCAGCAGTATTTATTTGTTAACATTGAGCTGCTTCATTATTTATCTGTTCATTAATGACACTAGAAAATCTGTAGAACAACGAAGTCAGAATGGGAATTTGATTGGGCTCAATTTTAGCTGCTAAGATTGTTGCAAATTTCTGCCGGAGCATTTCTTTCCCACTTGGATTTTTTCCTCTCTCTCTGTCGTGCTGGAGTGAGACAGTGAGGCTCTATTCAAAGTCAAAAAAAAGGGCTTTGGCAAGGACAACAGTTTTAGCCCAGTCTTCATAACAAAACACAAATTCTACATAAATTCCCTCTCCAAGGGCTCTTTAACCCTTTTCCCCTTCCCCATGCACAATTAGGTTTGGTTTTATTATTTATTTATTGTATATTTAAAGGCAAGTAACACTAGGAAGTGTAATAAAATGTACAGTGGGGGGATTAGGAGCAGCGCTTTAATCTCACGCTTCTGATAATACTGCATGGGCTGATTGATTAGTTTTTCAGGAAGCTTATGTCAGAAAAACCTAATCCTTCTTTGGATTGTGCCAGCCTTGTAAGGTTTTCCGCGCCGCCACTTTATCATGGCGGCGAATTACAGAGCTGCTGGGCTGTGATAAGGTCCCCGTCTCTTTTACAGACCCCAACGCCCAACCCCCGGCACCCCTCCTTTCCCTCTGGACAATAAAAAAAAATGTGTTTATATTCTTCACATCCGTGCTCTGCCTGGTCTTCACATCAACCTCTCCCAGGATTTGCCTTGTAAAAAAAGAGAGGAAAAAAAGGAGTAGAACTTAAGTCTTCAAAAAGCCACCAGAGAAATTGGTTGGGGAGCAAGAAAAATATGAATGAAAACGGCAAGCGGACCAGTAGAAATTTCTGTGGTAGTGATTAAGCATGGATTGACAGAGTGAAGGGGCCTTGTAAGCATGTGCTGCCTTCCAGGAATCGTTTTAGAGTTTACATGTGCCGATGTGTATCTGTGCTCATATTGGGGTCACAATCTCTCTAGCCAGAAGGCTTGACTAGATAATCCCTCATAAACAATACTGTCTGTGGCATTTGCAGTCCCCCGCCTGTATGCTGCCTCTGAAGGAAAGATTGTTGTTTCTTTTAAATCCCTCAATTGTAGCTCACAGCCACTACAGGTTGTATTGACTTGTATTGAGCTCTGGAACTGATTCCTTTTCCAATCATCAATCATAATTGTGTGCGTACTGGCAATAAATCCACAGTAAAGGTCCTGAAATGAAGACAAATAAGTTCCTAAAGATTGATAGGTGTGACACAAATGCCCTTTGCTTTGACAATAACCCTAATCTGGCTAGTGGATGGACCATTAAAGATTAAGTCAAATACTTATGAGCAGCATGATTACTTTCCTCGGGCTTCTCTTGTGATGTGAACTGTTCAGAATGAAGTGAAGTGCAGAGCAACTCTCTATGAATAAGTCGCATCCACTCTTCTGGCCCCGGTGTAGGAAACATTATGTTTAATATGATGTTAAGTTTCTTGATCTTGTTCCACAGCTATAAATTTTTATGGGCGATGTGCAGCCTGAGGCGATGTAAGATGTAGAAGCTCCGCTACCTTAAAGCATTGTCATTACCACTCTGCAGGGTCAGAAACATCCAGCACTCTTTGATGCACAACCTCGGTGTTTAGCAGCTCTCTTACTGTCTGTATTGCTTTTTACTGCTGTGCTGCTATAAAACAAAATGTGAGGATCACAGCAAGTATTTTGTCTAAAGTGTCTGTGGATGATGGAATATCATCTGAGAAATTGCAGTGTCACGTTTTCTTTTATTCAGTCAAATCTTGCAGTAGTTAACTTGATGTTGTACAGCCATGCATCTGAACTACCAATCCCGTGATACGACAACTCAAGCAGACACGGCAGCAAAGTTTCTACCTCTGAGCACTGAAATTCTTAATTACCACCTGGTTTGTTTTTGGGAAAGGCAATCACACCACATGTCAGAGTTCTGGAAAATGACTGACCTCTTTAATTAAAACTACATTGCTTACTTGTAAAAGGCAACGTGTGACAACTTTTGAATATGTACAATAAATCTCCCTTCTGCTTATTGCCAGGTTTGCATTTCCATTTATGTCTCTGGGCTTTCCAGCTTGTCATTTTCAGCCCTAACAAAGCATTGTCAGCTCCCCTATGTCTTTGCATATTTTCTGTGAAGCACCTGTCTTCAGAGCAATGGAAGCAGTGTCTTTCTGACTCTTGTTTCTTCAGAAGAAGAAGCTGTTTCTGTGAAATCAGTCACGGCCTAAATGTCCTTTGAGAGCAGAAACATTTGCTCTGTCAAATTTAGTGGCTGTATGTTTGAGAAATTCAAGCAAAAGC